CAACATTGCAGACATAGATAATCTATTTCAAACGAAGAAGAAGAAGAAAAAGAACTGACGTATTCCCGATAGCAGCCACTATAAATCCCAGAAACTCCGTTCATTCATGGGTTATATTTGTGCCCCTAATGGTCACAACATAACCTGAAGACAGAGTGGGGCAAGGTATGCGGGGGTGAGGGGTACTCTATGTTCCCCAGCTTCCATCTTCCCTCGCCCATGACTGTATCCGAGAGCACGACGAATGGCCATGTCGCAGTTGAAGTCTTGAGGGCCGGGATTTCAAGGCATCCCGTTACTGGGACTAATAGCTGGTGGCGTGTCGTGTCGGCCAGATGAAAGTGGAGTGAGATACAGGCACCCTCTTTGGTGTCAGCGAAAACAAACGAATGCATTTTTGATTTGGTGTGACAGTGTTTGCTTATTTCCCTTTGCGCTTGGCGCCCTGGAGGTCTCCGGTAGCGGCAAACTGACGACTGGCTGGAAGTTCAAACTGGAGAACTGTAATTAAGAATGTGTATGTGATTCTAGATTCAGATTTGCGTACACAAAGACTATTCAACCAAAATTACTCGGGAGCCTGGAAGAATCGGGATCGTCGTGGGGCAGAGACCCACGCAGTAGCATAGAAAGATCACTAATTCAATACAGTTGGCGATGATCCACGGGCCACTTGCCTGGTTTCCGTGGGCCAGATTCAGCTCAGTGTTATATTATGATTATTCACTGTCCTTTTTAGGATGCAATTTTCGTTATCTGAAGCCCTACCCTGGCTCTTGTCAGGGGCCGCAATATATCCTGGCCATAAAAATGGTGTATTGGCTGAACGCGGTTTCTGGGACCTCTCCATGGGTGATCCTCACCCACATGGTGCTCTCTGTGTCATCGGGTGTTTATCGCTTGTGTGATGTCCTGGTGGGGTAGAAAGTCAGGCAGTCAGCTCAGTGTTATAGACCAATCGATACTCAGTGACTAATGTGGCCAAGATCCTACCGGATGCCTTGACTTCCCATGATATTGCCAGGAGTAGAAGAACGACAGGTCTGTTGTTTTAGAAACAAACAATGAGAACACACTAGACAGATAAGAAGAGTAATGAAGAAGTCCTGAAAGTGACTGACATAATAACAGAACTGATTGCCCACATCAGAAAGAGACAATCTACATTCTTTGGTCATGTCTTGAAAAAGAGAAAGCTGGAGAACATCGTGACAGTAGGAAAGTTGAAGGGGAGGAGAGGCAGAGGGAGACCCAGAGAAAAGATGCTGGACAGTTTGGCATCATGGCATCGAAGACTACCCGTGTCAGAACTGATGGAAAATACATGAAAGAGAAGTTTGTGAATAAACAGACATGTCTGCCAACACCATACGGCATAGACTATAAAACATACTCATAAATTAACAGAGTAAGTTTTAGGAAGGAGGCATTGAGGTCATAGAAACTATATATATATATATATATATATATATAAGCTAACAAACAATGTATTGATAGGTACTACTGGAAAGAAGTAGAAAGACAGAACGATACATTATGGAAAGAAGTAGAAAGACAGAACGATACATTATGGAAAGAAGTAGAAAGACAGAACGATACATTATGGAAAGAAGTAGAAAGACAGAACGATCCATTAGACCACATAAGAATGGAAAGCTATAGTTGCCGTACTGGGACTTTTTATGGTGTCTATTTGGTTATATATTTAGTTATTGATTATTATTTATTTAGTTATTGGTAAATATTTGGTTATATATTTAGTGCATTTGTTTGTTCGTAGAGGCGCAGTCCTCATTTAGAGGTGACAAGTTAGAGTCCCAGGTTTGAGGAAACAAATGAAAACAAATAAATGACATTTCAAGGACCTCACTAAAGGGCAGAAATAAGTACCAGCGTAAAGTAACAGTGGACAGACAAAAAGAAAACAGAACACAGAAGACTAACAGTGTACATTTGCAAAATTGACCCACTTTTGATATATCAAAATATCGACACGCACACACACACACACTAGCAACTGATAAAGGACTATTTGTACCAACATTGTACCAACATTGTACCAACATTGTACCAACATTGTGCTATCAATTTCATATACGGACAGTCTTAGGGAAAAATTAATGCAGAATTACATGTTTGAGGATTGAGGTTTAAACAACAGATCAACATCATAACACACTGGTAGTAACCCATAAGTGCTCTGTTCTTCTTCTAACCCAAATCTAAGCCCGACGAAGTTCAGCACAGTGCACAGGCTCTGTAGCACCGGCAAGGATCCTGAAATACTTTGGATATATTTTTATCTCCAAATTTCGCCCAGGCGGCGCCGTTAGGCTACTCTTTTAGATTTCCAACTGCCAAGAATTTATTTTTACGCCCGCAACAATGCACACGGGCGTCCGATCTTACTACCCAGAGACCTGGGGGAATTACTACCTTCCCAGCCTTCACCGGGAGCTCTAGCACTCGAGGGGGACACCTTACCTCGAGACCACGCGGCCTCTTAGAATTACATGTAAGATGAGATTATGAGAAATTGTAACGGGAGAATCAAGAAAACAAGAACTAAGAATAATGGTAGACGTGGTACGGTAAATAATTTCGTAGAACATCAAAGAATCAAATAGTTTTATCATCTAGTCATAATAGAACAAAATCAGTCAGGTGCTAGATCCCTGTGAATCTACAACAATAGTCAGACTGCAAGAACAACATGTTCAACGGAGTGTCGCCAAACAAGAACACTACTCGGGTAGTCAAAGAATAATAATAAACCAACACAGAACTGGTGTCGTTAGCTGCTACACGCTGCGGGATTTCCTGAAAAAGGTGGGGTGGGAGCGAGCACATATGGACTGAGGGGTTCGACGTGAAATGAGGATAATCTGTCGACTGACTAACTAACTAACTAACTAACTAACTAACTAACTAACTAACTAACTAACTAACTAACTAACTAACTAACTAACTAACTAACTAACTAACTAACTTAAATTAAATTAAATTAAATTAAATTAACTTAACTTAACTTAACTTAACTTAACTTAACTTAACTTAACTTAACTTAACTAGCTAGCTAGCTAGCTAGCTTACTAACTAACTAACTAGCTAACTAACTAACTAACTAACTAACTAACTAACTAACTAACTAACTAACTAACTAACTAACTAACTAGCTAGCTAACTAACTACACTTAACTTAATTTAACTTAACTTAACTAGCTAGGTAGCTAGCTAACTAACTAACTAACTAACTAGCTAACTAACATTAGAACATCAGGCTACAAGGCAAGAGGCCGACCAAGAAAGAAATGGGTGGAAGGAATAAGAGAGCCACTATAGAAATACAATATGACATAAAGACAAGTACACAACTAGCAAAAGACTGGAAGCTACATCTAACGCCTCTTTGTAACGCTTTACTGCACAAGCAGTAAGGAAAACGAAAATAGCAGATATACCTAATATTACTAAAGTTGTGACTATATTTTCTGACATTCGTCAGATCACGCGAAACCGTTTACCGTGGGCTGGTATCGGGCATGCTCCTGTGCCGGGGTTTGGCGCCGCCTTGTGTTGACAGAGTTGCCAGCCGTCTGGACTAGTAGTCAATAGTTAACGGCCTGCCTTCTGCAACATCTCAGAGGCGGCGGAATGTGGTAGGGCAGGGCGCACCCTTCACCGGGCGGCTAGCTGCGGATTTTTGGCGCAATGTTTACTGAATCAGTTAGCAGGCGTAAGCAATGCACGTTCAGACGTGTACCGGGTCCGCACATTTACAGAAATGTAGTATTTGTGTGGGGACTTAAGCGGTAGGTGTGTGTGTGTGAGAGAAGGTGGAACTTCATCACTTGCCATCGCCACAGCCTTTGATTTCTATGCCTACCCAGAGCACCATATAACACTTTTATTTGGAAAGACATAAAGGTTCTAACACATTATCCATCTCTCTCTCTCTCTATATATATATATATATATATATATATATATATATATATATATATATATATATATATATATATATATATATATATAATGTGTGTTTAATGACAAGATTTCTTAAATTAATTACTTGCGCACCGAAATTAAATGTCTATTACTCCATGTTTCAAGCGCCATGTAACCGTTAGTTTAGATTATCACTGCTATATACCGGCGTTTAGGTAATTGAGTTTTGCTAATGGTGTTACCTATTGAAGAAAGAATAATTTTGAATTAGCACGGGTTCCTTGAGGATGGCAAGTATTCGAATATGGTTGTTCAACAATTTATGTCATTTCCTGATACTATAGTGCCTCATCCTAAAAACTGATAGGAATTTAACGAATCGATTGCGAATCGAGCCGTAATGTGGAAAACAACCCAAACTAAGACGTACTATAGCAGTATATGTTACATTAACTCCACAGACGGTAATTACAAAAGTAGGAACGGCAATATTCTCAAAACAACATTCATTAAAAATACAGCCTATATTTGAAATAATTTATATTTATAAGCAAATAGCTCAACGAAGAACTTTTCTACATTGTTGGGTCCGTTTTGCCGAATGTAGGGGTTGGAGGTTGAGCGAGTAAACATTCTAAGGGGGCGGGGGGGGGGGGGGGACTTCTCTCAATCCAACTGGCCCATCCGTTCACTCACCTATAAACTTTTTCATTCATCCATGCAATTCATTGAATAACCCATCCGCTCAGTTCCCTGACTTACCCATCTATTGACTAATCCACCTGTTCCATCCATTGACTAACATATCCACGTAATCCACTGACCCCTAGAGCGCTGTCCACTGACTAAGATTTCCATGTAATCCCCTAACCCATCCAGGCAGTCCACTGACTAAGATATCCACGTAATCCATTGACACATCCACACAGTCCATTGGTTAACATATCCATTGCGATCTACTGACCCATCCACGCAGTGCACTGACGAACATATCCACAATCTGCAATCCACTTACCCATTCAGATACTCACTCCCGCCTTTTGCCTCCCCAGACGAATCTTTCCCGCCTACAGAGTCCGACTGTCCGGCCTGGACAAGAAGTGCAAATACTTTCTTCTGCTGGACATCATGGCCGTAGACGACTGTCGCTACAAGTTCCACAACGGGAAGTGGACAGTGGCCGGAAAGGCGGACCCGGAGATGCCCCGCCGCTGCTACGTCCACCCGGACTCACCGTGCACCGGCGAGCAGTGGATGCAGAAAGTGGTCAGTTTCCACAAGGTCAAACTGACCAATAACATCTCGGATAAAAATGGATATGTGAGTATATTATTATCATTATCATCATCATCATCAGCATCACCATCATTATCATTATCACCATCATCATCATCATCATCATCATTATCCATGGCGTGAGCATGTACTCCAGGACTGCACCGATTTTGACACATTAAGGCAAACCTTTTGGCCAGAAAGAACAACAGTGGAACGTAAACTCTATGGACCACTGAATGAACTAACAACGACAGTGAAATTTATACAAGAGACAAAACTGCTGATATAGATAACTTATTTCAGGCGAACGAAAGAAGAAGAAGAATCATCATTATCATTATCACCATTATCATCTTCATCACCATCATCATCATCATCTTATTACATTATCATCATCATATTAGATCATCACCATCATCATCATCATCATCACCATTATAATCATCTTTTTACATTATCAATATCATCATAATCATCATATTATTATATTATCATCGTCATCATTATCATCATCATCATCATCTTATTATATTATCATCATCCTTTTTGTTATTAACATCATCTTTACAATTATATATTTTAAAATTATTTTTATTGCTTCCATTTTATTGGGAGTCGACGTGGTGTAGTGGCTAGACGCTCGCCTCTAGGTCTCGAGGTTGTGTGTTAGAATCTGAATGCAGCCGAAAATTTTTCAAAAATGACACTGGCTCTCGTCTTAAAGTCTTACCAATTTGAGTCCTGGAAAATAAAGGCGGCCGGCGTGATGCTCAGCTATGACTCACCGAGTGCCAATCGGTGTATAAAATATAGATTTTGCCATCTATGCCCAATATGCCCGAATGCTTGAAAAAGCTCAATTTCTTTACTATTTTATTGTTGTTATAATTGTTTTTATTAGTGGCAGTGGTGGTAATTGAAATAGTAACAGTAGAAGTAGTAGTAGTAGTAGTAGTAGTAGTAGTAGTAGTAGTAGTAGTAGTAGTAGTAGTAGTAGTAGTAGTAGTAGTAGTAGTAGTAGTAGTAGTAGTAGTAGTAGTAGTAGTAGCAGCAGCAGCAGCAGTAGCAGTAGTAGTAGTAGTAGCAGCAGCAGAAGCAGTAGTATTAGAAGTAGTAGTAGCAGAAGTAGTAGTAGTAGTAGTAGTAGTAGTAGTAGTAGTAGTAGTAGTAGTAGTAGTAGTAGTAGTAGTAGTAGTAGTAGTAGTAGTAGTAGTAGCAGTAGTAGTAGTAGTAGCAGTAGTAGTAGTAGCAGCAGCAGAAGCAGTAGTAGTAGTATTAGAAGTAGTAGTAGTAGTAGAAGTAGTAGTAGTAGTAGTAGTAGTAGTAGTAGTAGTAGTAGTAGTAGTAGTAGTAGTAGTAGTAGTAGTAGTAGCAACAACAGTAGCAGCAACAGCAGCAGCAACAGCAGAAGTAGTAGTAGGAGTAGTTGTAGTAGTAGTAATAGTAGTAGTAGTAAAAGTAGTAGTAGTAAAAGTAGTAGTAGTAATAGTAGTAGTAGTAACAGTAGTAGTACTAGTGGAGGTAGTAGTAGTAGTAATAGTAGTAATAGCAGAAGCAGTAGTAGTAGTAATAGCAGAAGCAGTAGTAGTAGTAGTAGTAGTAGTAGTAGAAGTAGTAGTAGTAGTAGTAGTAGTAGTAGTAGTAGTAGTAGTAGTAGTAGTAGTAGTAGTAGTAGTAGTAGTAGTAGTAGTAGTAGTAGTAGTAGTAGTAGTATAGATGACAGTATTAAGGGTGTTGTTGTTGTTATAGTAATAGTAGTAGTAGCAGAAATGGTAGTAGTGGTAGTAATAGTAGTTGTTGTTGTTACTGTTGGGTCTAACAATAATTATATAGACGCTTAATATCCTGACGTGTGCCCCCTTGACCTTGTTCCTCTACCCGCAGCAAATCCTCAACTCCATGCACAAGTACCAGCCCCGATTCCACATCATCCGCACCTCCGACTACATGAGACTGGCTGTCAGTCCCAGGACTACCGTAGTGTTCGACGAGACGCAGTTCATCGCCGTCACCGCCTACCAGAACGAACAGGTGAGTGGCCAAACGCAGCTAATGGCTTAAAGCAAATCAGTAGTTCATGTTTTGTGTGCAAAACATTATGTGTGATTGAGTTAGTGAGAGAGTGTGCGCGAGAAAGTGTGTGAGTGAGTGAGTGTGTTAGTGTGTAAGTGAGAGAGTGTGAGTGAGAGAGTGTGTGAATGAGTCTCTTCTTTGTCTTAAAGTTTACCAGCTATAAACTCCGGCTTCTGGTTGGTCGTTCACGACTGAACTTTAGTCCTGTTCTACAACTTGAGTTTTAGGCGCCCAACCGTTTTACAGCACTGGCTTATTTGTGTGCAGACTGCTGGTTCCTTGACTCTCAGGCAGATGCACTCTGACTTTGAAGGAAACAGCCTTAATTAGACGCCTTGTACGACATGCTTTTTAGGGTGTAGATGTTAATGAGGGAGGCCGGAGCTGCTGCGCAGGAGTCCCTCCACCAGATGGAAAGGACATCACAGGATACAACAGAGTGGATGCGTTACAGAGGACCGTTAGTTACAGATGTCTGTCCCATGGATCATACCGACATTGTTAACGCCACTAGAGAGGTAGGACTTTCGGGGGATTATCGGAGCAACACTTCCACGTTTTTGCTAAAGGTGCAAGAACTGGGAATAAAGATCGGCACAGCCAGACACGAGAAGTCTTGTCAACCAACAAAGGACTGGAACTATCAACCGCGGCAAGCTGATGTATATGTTAAAGGGGGAATCTGAGCTTTTATGGACGTGTCCGGAGTGCCGTTAAGGAAACTCAAATTATAACTCATAATAGATGCGTAGACTGCGACCACTATGTAACAATTCACCTGTACTAAAAGACGCCGATTAATGTTACTGTTGTTGTTGGTGTTGTGATTGTGGTTTCTGTTATGTTGGTTGCGGTTGTTGTGATTGTGGTTACTGTTACATTGGTTGCGGTTGTTGTGATTGTGGTTACTGTTCCGCTGGTTGCGGTTGTCGTCACTTGAGATGAAGCTAATGTATTGATACCTACTGCTCCCCAGATCACCAAGCTGAAGATCGACAACAACCCGTTTGCCAAGGGTTTCCGCGAAAATGGCGGCGGTCGAAACAATAAGATGTAAGAACCAAAGCTGACTCTGCCTGTAGCATTCACCTGTTGTCTGTCTCACCTGAATCTTTCATCTGTATCTTTCACTTATATTCTGTCTGGCTTGTGTCTTTCACCTGTTGTCTGTCCTACCTGTATCTTTCACCTGTTGTCTGTCTCACTTGTTTCTTTCACCTGTTGTCTGTCCTACCTGTATCTTTCACCTGTTGTTTGTCTCACTTGTGTCTTTCATCTGTATTCTGTCTCACTTGTGTCTTTCACATGTTTTCATTCACCTGTTGTCTGTCTCACTTGTGTCTGTCTCACTTGTGTCTTTCACCCGTTGTTTTTCACCTGTTGTCTGTCTTACCTGTATCTTTCACATGTATTATGTCTCACTTGTGTCTTTCACCTGTTGTTTGTCTCACCTGTATCTTTCACCTATATTATGTCTGATTTGTGTCTTTCACCAGTAGTCTGTCTCACCTGTGTCTATGACGTGTAGGATTAGTCTATCTGACTTGCCTGTGTCTGTCTCCTTGAGATAGGTAAAGATATTTTTGCTACTACTACTACTACTACTATTATTGCCATCACCACCAGCACCCGCATCATCATTATCATCGCCATCGTTATCTATTTCACACAGTAAGAAAGTCCCCGTCCTCATGGACACATCAACGTCCTCTGTCTCCAACGACGGTCACCTGTCATCAAACAGCGACAACGACGATGATGACGACGAGGCTAACGTGGAGATTTGTGTCGACGACGACGACCAGCACTCCGGCAGTCTCAGCCGCAGCGATCTTGAAGAGGACGACCACGAGGATGAGGAGGGGTTAAAGGAGAAAATCTCACCTAACGGTAATACTGAATCTATGTCTTCTCCTCCTCCTCCCACCAAGAATTGAATCTATGTCTTTTCCTCCTCCTCCTCTTCCTCCTAATACTGAATCAATGTCTTCTTCTCCTTTTCCTCCTTTCACTGCGGCTGCTGCTGCTCCTCCTCCTTCTTTTTCTTTTTCTTCTTCTTCTTCTTCTCCTTCTTCTTCTTCTTCTTCTTCTTCTTCTTCTTCTTCTTCTTCTTCTTCTTCTTCTTCTTCTTCTTCTTCTTCTTCTTCTTCTTCTTCTTCTTCTTCTTCTTCTTCTTCTTCTTCTTCTTCTTCTTCTTCTTCTGCTGCTGCTGCTCCTTTATCATCATCACAATCGTCATCATCTTCTCTCCTTTTTGTTTTACTCTTCTGTCAGTAAATGCAAACTTTGCAGTTCACTTAAAGCGACCTCGGGAACTTTCAATCAACTCTGACACAGATGATCTTCCATGCTACAATGTCAAACTGTCCAGGTTCTTCTCTCTGTCTTCCTCTGCCTTTTTTCCCCTCCAACTGTTCACACTGTCACGATTAACTCCAGTTTTCTGCTTCTCATAACATGACCAAGAAACGTAGTCTGATTCCTATGCTTAAAGACAATACATGTATAATGAACATATCATTTCATATTAAAAGAGAATTGCATTTATAAGAAAATAGGAATTGTGTGAGGCCCCCCCTGACCGTGAGGCCCTAAGCTGTAGAGTTTTTAGCTTACACCTAAATCCAGCACTGCCTATGCTGCAACAATCACTATCTGATCTATCCATCTGTCTGTCTGTCTGTCTGTCTGTCTGTCTGTCTGTCTGTCTGTCTGTCTGTCTGTCTGTCTGTCTGTCTGTCTGTCTGTCTGTCTGTCTGTCTGTCTGTCTGTCTGTCTCCGGTCGGTCGGTCGGTGGGTCGGTCGGTCGATCGGTCGGTCGGTCGGTCGGTAAGTGGGTCGGTCGGCCGTTCCGTCCGTCTGTCTATCTTTCTGTCTCTTGTCTGCCTTTTGATAATTATCCGTCCGTTCTCTTGTCTGTCTCTGTAACCGTATATCTCCCCGTTTTGTGTTTGTTTTCCCAGAACCATTAATACAAAAACGATATCATTCTTTTCCGCAGGCGCCCATTTCCCAGCAATGAGAGACTCCACAAGGCCATTCTGTCCCCACGCAGACTCCAGAGACATACACGAAGAACGTGGAAGTGCATTCGACCGATCACTTCGCTCAAACCACGACGCAAGTGACAGAGAAAACGAAAGCACGGCGTCGCGACTGACTCACAACTCTCAGACAGATTCGTCGAGTGTCCCAGACAAGAAGCCAATTCTCAAACACAGCGCTGAGAGTTTGCTTGCCAAACCTCCAGCACCGACTTGCCACAGCAGTCACACTCCTCGAGCCTACTGCGACCCAGACCTCGCGGTTAGAGACAGTCGGATAAACACACAGAGTGGTCAGTGCGAGGAGCAGGTAGAGTGCCAGGATACAAGTAGAAGGGGCAGGTTCGACTACTTGACTCCGGCATATGTACAACTGCGTGATAGTTTTAGCGACACAGACGTTGATCATAAAGTGAACTGTCTAGCACAGGACGATAAGACTCTTTCCCGTGATTCCAACAGATTGTGTAGCATAGACGCCAGATCTTCAGCCTACTCGCCAGATGGGTACAGCGCCGACAGTGAGTCTGATTCTTTGACAAAACACAGCAGTAGCAGCGTATCTTCTGATGCCTCCCGCGGCACACGTTTACTTGCGCAGCAGCACCAGCACCAGTACCACCACGACAGGTCCTACTCTCGACAAGAGGAAAAGGCGAAGCAACAGTCACACTTTCAGCATTTTTTCAAAGCCGAGCCAGAGAAGCGGGACCTATTTGAGAAGGAGAACCGTTTCTTGCACGAACAGAAAACTATGGGAAAGGACTCGCGCAGTCCTCCTAATGTGACTGTGTGTCAAAGGGCTCCCGTTGCTCACTCGTTATATCCGGTGTGCCCTTCCAACTTCTTTGGAACCACCCCTTCAGCATTCCACCACCCAATGGCGTCTATGTATATAAATACCTCCCATCCTCATCTGCTACCTCATATGCCTCCATCACCACTGTCTTCATCTGCAACATCTTTACCCCCATCACCGCCACCACATAGGTCACCCACAGCATCCTCGGTCTCATCGTTTCTGTCTTCCTTGTCCAACCCACACTTCCCTCACTACTTACCCACACCCCACCCGGCAGCGATGGCCAGAGCTTTTGCTGCCCAGCATCTATCATTCATACCCCCACATCCCTCAACCCTCACTCAGATGTTCTTATCCAGAACGACGCCCAGCAGGTATCACCCGTACGCACCCAATCCCGTCAGTCCAGGCATATCCTCATCGCCAGACGGCACGCACTCTAGGTCCCCGACCCCAAGTCCTGCTAGCTCGCCATCCATGAAAGGAGCTTCACCGGGAGTCATAAAACCCCTGGCCATCTCCAGAGAGACGGGTCTCAATTTGTCCACAGCCGACAGTAGAGTGGTTCCTGTGTAGGCGGACGGGACATTAACCCTTAGCAACATTCACAATTTTCCATCGTCCACCCCTGAAACAGGTGTCAACTTCTTCATAAAAGACAGTCGTATGGTCCTCTGTATAGACTAACTGGTTATGGATATTTACCGCCACTAAGCTTATCATCACTTCTCAAAGGACAGCACTGGTTCATACCTGAATATCCAATGATCCGTGTGTAGATGGTTTGGTCATGAATTGTTACATTCACGCGCCGCCTGCCATCGCCACCAACAACCATCCGCTGGTTTGGATCTCTGGCGGCAGTGTAGTAATTCGCCGCTTTCACAAAGAAGTCAGTGGACAACCAAGAGCAGACAATTGTAAAAGAGCATCAACAAAGTGATAAATTCTAGAATCTAAAGTTCTTTGGAAAAGTCTGAGTGGACAGTGGTCGTTGTCAATGATCATCATCTGACCCGTGGGCATCCTGTGTTGGGAGTCGCTAAATGATGCGTCCATTCCGGCTGTATTTGCTGACATTGTTCTCTGTTCCAGGAGATAAATGATTTGGTCACCTCGTTAGAATGCAGTCACATGATTTGGTCACCTCGTTAGAATGAAGCCAAAACAACAACCAACACAGGTGCGACACATGAAAGATCTGACGTGAAAACAAGAAGTGACCTTAGGACTGATGACATTAACGAGCTTCTAACTGACATGGAATGACAAAAGCCATTGCAACCCATCCAAAAATGGATTCCTCCCCGCGCCACATAACGGCACAAGTGGAATGTCATGATTCCTTCGCGTCTTGTCTAGTCTAAAGTAAATGAGAAGATCTCTGACACTGCTCGTGTTTCCAGACAGGAAATAAACGTTTTCATCCTTTGCAGAGGGTCTTTCGTGTATCAGACAAATAATTGTTACTGTGGCAAATTAATATTATTTTGGAATTGTATTTAAAAGTCGCCTAGGAAGTTGCAGAACCATCTCCAGCATTTTTTTGCCTGTTGTAATATTTATAGGCAAATTTACGTTCAGTGGTTTGTGAAATCGTATGGTTTGTGTTATTTAGCTGCATGCCGGTTTTTTCATAGGCAATTTTACGTTCAGTATTTTGCAATTGCTTTCTGGAAGGTCCAACGCTCATTCGCTACGTTAACAAAACCAACGTAAAGTGATCAGCGACCAGATTTTCAGATTTCAGCTGACCTAAAACCGTCGTATGTAGAACAGCGTTCACAACCCTTAATTCACAGACGTCATGGAGGCATTACTAATTCCAGCCAGTCTACTGAAGCAGAGCTGACGAGCTCTATGAAGGACTTGTTACTTGTTATCCGCATTGACATCATGGCACATCGGTCCTACCCACTGGTGCCCCGTCTGCTGATGCAGCATCCATATCAGTGTCTCTATGCCCAACGTACCCAGCAGGAGTTGACTGGCATATACTCTTTCTTGCTACAAAGGACTGAAGTTGTTGGAAGTCGCACCGATTTCGCCAATAGCTAATTCTGCATAATCTCTTTAATATATGGAGTGGCTAAAACAGAAGTCATCAACATAGATTGAGTGGCTAAAACAGAAGTCATCAACAGTGGACGCCATAACTGCCGTTGAAACTTGAGTATAAATATTGTATGAAATCTGTGCAAAAAACACGGGGGTGGGGGTAGGTGGCAGCAGATGGATCGTCTCAGATTCTTGACAAAGTCAGTTGTGAACAAAAGCAACATCTTTGTAAAAGCATTTATTCCAAACAAAAAACTGAACTGACCGGGTTTAAAAAGCCACAAGAACTACAACATGAACATTGCGGTTAGAAAGCCTTCATAAGCATACGACACAAATCGACAATGATAAGATTACAAAGAAGAGCACACTTATCTGTAACAAAAGACTGTTACAACATATCCATGAAGACATTTGTCTGAAGGAGAAAAGCTCTGAGAGCAGGAAAGAGATTCTAGACAGGAAGTGACGTGTTTGTGCGACAAGGGGAGGCAATATTGACTTAGGGTACGCAACTGTGATTCGCGCTATGATTATCAATATTATGTTTTCTCATCTCTTCAATAAGCAGAGGTGAAAAGATTGTATAAATAACGTAATGATTGGATGATTGAGTTTTCGTCCATGCATAATTATATCTGACAGCGTGTGCAACAACTTTTCGCGATTTGATTTTTCTGAGTGATGAAAGAATGAAAACTTGACATTGCTGATTCTTCTTCTTCTGCCTTTCTAGCCCCGGATGGAGCATAGGCCCTCAACCAAGCCACGCCAAGCCGTTCTATCTTTCGCTATCGCATGCAGCTCTTCCCATGTCCTCCCAGTCTTTTTAACTTCACTCTCCTTTATTCCTATACCCAGTGAGTTCCAGTGCAAAGACATTCTAGTTATATTGTTTTCAAGGCTTCTCATCTTGCGTCTTATCCAAAGTCAGCGTCTTTTCTTCACCTCTTGGTCCACTGGAACTTGCCTGGTGTAGTAGATCACCTGGTGTGGTAGATCACCTGGTGTGGTAAATCACTTGGTGTGGTAGATCACCTGGTGTGGTAGATCACTTGGTGTGGTAGATCATCTGGTGTGGTAGATCATCTGGTGTGGTAGATCAACTGGTGTGGTAGATCACCTGGTGTGGTAGATCAACTGGTGTGGTAGATCACCTGGTGTGGTAGATCATCTGGTGTGGTAGATCACTTGGTGTGGTAGATCACCTGGTGTGGTAGATCAACTGGTGTGATAGATCAACTGGTGTGGTAGATCAACTGGTGTGGTAGATCAACTGGTGTGGTAGATCACCTGGTGTGGTAGATCACCTGGTGTGGTAGATCAACTGGTGTGGTAGATCACTTGGTGTGGTAGATCACCTGGCGTGGTAGGTCACCTGGTGTGGTAGGTCAACTGGTGTGTTAGATCAACTGGTGTGGTAGATCACCTGGTGTGGTAGATCAACTGGTGTGGTAGATAACTTGGTGTGGTAGATCACTTGGTGTGGTAGATCACCTGGTGTGGTAGATCAACTGGTGTGGTAGATCACCTGGTGTGGTAGATCACCTGGTGTGGTAGATCAACTGGTGGGGTAGATCAGCTTGTGGGGTAGATCAACTGTTGGGGTAGATCACCTGGTGTGGTAGATCACCTGGTGTGGTAGATCACCTGGTGTGGTAGATCAACTGGTGTGGTAGATCACCTGGTGTGGTAGATCACCTGGTGTGGTAGATCACCTGGTGTGGTAGATTACCTGGTGTGGTAGATCAACTGGTGTGGTAGATCACCTGGTGTGGTAGATCAACTGGTGTGGTAGATCAACTGGTGTGGTAGATCACCTGGTGTGGTAGATCACCTGGTGTGGTAGATCACCTAGTGTGGTAGATCAACTGGTGGGGTAGATCACCTGGTGGGGTAGATCACCTGGTGTGGTAGATCACCTGGTGTGGTAGATCACCTGGTGTGGTAGATCAACTGGTGGGGTAGATCACTTGGTGTGGTAGATCACCTGGTGTGGTAGATCACCTGGTGTGGTAGATCACCTGGTGTGGTAGATCAACTGGTGTGGTAGATCACTTGGTGTGGTAGATCACTTGGTGTGGTAGATCACCTGGTGTGGTAGATCAACTGGTGTGGTAGATCACCTGGTGTGGTAGATCACCTGGTGTGGTAGATCAACTGGTGTGGTAGATCACCTGGTGTGGTAGATCACCTGGTGTGGTAGATCACCTGGTGTGATAGATCAACTGGTGTGGTAGATCACCTGGTGTGGTAGATCAACTGGTGGGGTAGATCACTTGGTGTGGTAGATCACCTGGTGTGGTAGATCACCTGGTGTGGTAGATCACCTGGTGTGGTAGATCACCTGGTGTGGTAGATCACCTCACTACTTATTGTGGTGTATGTGTGTGTGTGTATATTTGTGTGTGTATGTGTTAGTGAAATACTGCATCTGAGAAAAAATGTGTCTGATAAAGATAGAGAGTGTGAGGAATGAAGCGGCTGAGAGAGTGTGTGTGTGTGTGTGTAGAAGAGAGAGAGAGAGAGTGTGTGTGTGTAGAAGAGAGAGAGAGAGTGTGTGTGTGTGAGAGAGAGAGAGAGAGGGGGGATCGGTCTCAGCAGAAACGAAGAAACCACATATACCAACATACACATACACACACATACACACAAACTCCCACTTATATTAGGTCTTGGTTGCAGGCTTGTCTTAAAACTATCCTGTCTGGCTGGTCAAGAAAAAAATGGCACGGAGAAAGGGCACAAGTCATGTTCCTTTAATCAATTCACACGTGTAAGCGTTAGCAGGTAACGATCACATTGGAGAGGGAGTGAATCACGTGACGTTTTCTTCTCGTCGCTTCGCTGTTGAGCGTACACAACTGGCAGTGGTAACTTTTACACGTTACATTTACTGACTTAATCATGCAGCAAGCGCTGTTGTGGGTATGTGTAAAACTTAAACCGAGCGGTGTATTTACAAAAAAAAATAATAGTAAAAATAAATTATAAAGTAATGAATATTTTTGGGGAATGGAAAGTCTAAGCAGCGATTACATCTCTTATATGCCCACAGTGCCCCAGATCCCAGTTAATATTAAGTATCAAGCATCATTTACCTTAAAGCAATTATGTTAGTGGGTTATCTCTGTCCTTCTCCAAAAACCATCAGTTGTAAACCCTTTGGTTCGGTACTGTGGATATCGCAAGCCTTCTGCCTTGATTTCATGAGTAATACAGTAAATCTGGGTGGGAGAAATGTGGCTTTTCTGCCTACCCCCTGGCATGAACCCGGACAACAATGAGTTCGTCACCCTGTCGCAGAGCAGAGTTTTCGTATATTTATACATAATAATTAATGTTAATGTTTAACTGAAGTTAATGTATAATAAATGTTAATGTATAATTGATGTTAGTGTAAAACTAATGTTAATGTATAATAAATGTTAATGTATAATAAATGGTAATGTATAACTAATGTTAATGTATAATAAATGTTAATGTATAATAAATGTTAATGTATAACTAATGTTAAT